TAACCCATTTAATCATATACATTAATCCACCCTTTAATACTAAATTGTAACCTAAATAATATAAATTGTATGATATATTTTCTCCATTCAATGCATGTAACTCCCATAATTATAATTAATAATTTATGTATTTTCTAATGTTACATTTAAATACTAATTTACTATCATGTATTTCATCAACATAAGATTAACACAATAACACCCTCTATTTTCATATATTTATATATGATTATGAATTGTGAGCTATTTAAATAGCTACTCAGTTTTTCATAATCACTTTATTAGAATTCCGAATCTCATATAAATTTTTCGAAAAAGATATCCTACATGCTACACATATATAAAATAAATTACTATGAAAACATAGTTTACACATGTGCCAAAATTTATTTCTTCTATCTTTAAGATAAGTTATTATGAATTTTTTATTTATTAATGTGGTATAAATTGCAGAAAATATATATTTAATAGTTTTAGCAGTTTCAATAATTACTACGAGATTATATATATAAAAACATATTTTACTATCTTTTTAAAGTTGAAATTAACATATATAAGATGTTCGATCTAATATATTTGTTTTTAGCAATATGTGCCATATTGTCTTATATTGTTTTATTTTTGCACTTTAAAATAAATATTTAACATCATGTTATTAATAAACAGATTAATGCGTATATAGGGGTGTCAAAATGGGTAACCTAGCCCCTAACTCAACTCATTATCTACAGAGCCGTGCCAAGGTCAATGGTTGCCAAAGGCGGTCAAATGAAATTTGCCCCAATTCACAAAACAAAGATACTTCTACAAAGCTAGAGCTCTAAACTGTCTTTTTTCCCATGTAAGCAAATCGGTTCCTGATTGGCTCTCCCTATCGGATAGTCTCTTTCCGACAACTTAATAGAAATGGTGTTCGAGGAAAAAAAAAAAGATGCTTCTACAAAGATAAATTGCCATATGATGAAATAACGTCAAAACCAAAACATAAAATTAGTTCTAAAACGTAATTCTTCTCCCTTTCTCTCCAACAAAATTATTAGCCAAACATTCATAGTCAATTTCCCTAACCAATTCTCTTTCGATAGATAAGATCGCCAAGTCACTCAATCGTTTTTCATGATTATTAAGTAATACATTATAGTTTTAGTTATAAGATGTATTGTATTATTATCAAAATTTGAAATACTATGAAACATCTAATATATTTTTATATACAATACAATTTCTATAATGCATAACTTGATAATCATTAACCTAAATTTATAATACTTTGTTCTGTTTAGTTTCCTAATTCTTTTAATATTTTTCTACTTTAATTTTATTTTTCTTATTACTTAGATAAATGCAAGTGATCTTTCAATATTGGGCATATTAAACTAAAGGTATCTTGTAGAAAAATATGCTTCTAAGTTTTTTTCAAAAATTTGAGGACGTAGGCGAAGGTTTCTTTGTTATACCTTGAGGCACGACTCTGATTATCTAATGAGTTTACAGTTAAATGAGTTAATAGTTGACCCATTAAAATAATAAATTAATTAATAATCAATATAAAAACAACAATATTCATCATCATTTGGTGGGAAAATCACGGATTTACATTTTTAGCAAAAACGTTACAAGTTTAGGTTTTTGGCGGGAAATTTGCGGATTCACAATTTTTTGTCGCTGAGATTTGCGGATTCACACTCCGAGTATACATTGTATAAATTATCTTTTAATGATATTTAACTTGCCTACATTTTAAATAATTACTCCAACATTTCGTATATTTAAAATCAATTTACATGCACCAAAACATGGTCAAAGAAACCTTATGATCTAATGTTCACTTTAATAAAAAGATAATGCAACATATAAAAAAGATTGAGAATTGAAAGATATGAAGGAGAAAATAGATATAAACTATCTTGAAAACTAATTTATATTCGAGTATATTATATATAAGCCAATATAAGGTAAGAAGATAATAGATGTTGGGAGACGATGAGTGAATCATAGAAGATAAAAAAAAAAGTTGTAATAAAAAATGTGAGAAATGTTTTACTACTTTGAAAGATAATGCACATGAGTAAAGTAAAATCTTTAAAAATTCAAATGATTATATTTATATTTAAAAGAAAAAAAAAATGTATTGAATCACCTATATTTTCTATATATCTATTGGTTTATGTATGTTTCAATAAAAAAATAGTTTAAATAATTAATTTGTACCACAGTTCCTGATTAACATTATATTATTAATTAATTAAATATGAAAAAACTCAATAATTTATTTTAATTTTCAAAAGGATATTTTGTTAATAGAAATTAAATTAGTCAAATATGACATAAAATACTAAATCGTTGAGACATAGCGACAAGAAAAACTTGATCTAAGTTTACATAATATATGAAATTTAGCCGTTTTATATTTTCTATTTTTTTGGTTATTGTAAAATACACTTTCAGAAATTAAAAGATAACAATAAAATATGTAGGCTTCTTAAATAAACATATATAATTTATTATAATAACATAAGAATATATCTATTCAATTTATGTTATCATATTTTTTTTGGCTATAAGTAAAACAAAACCAAAATCAAAATTCAAAATCTTTCAGAGACAAATTCTGAGACACTTAACCTACTTTTTATTTCTTCTTTATGGTGCTTTTCAACTTGCCTCCATGAACTTTTTTGTTTTACACGTGTTATAATGTGTTAAAAGAACCAATCCTTTCACATTATATAATTTTGTTTAGATATAAAATAATGACATATTAAAATTGAAGGATCAGACTACTTTGTAAATAGAAGGTTATATAACGGATATATTTTTCTATTATATTTTAACAGTATATATAGATTTAAATTAGGAAAACAATACAATTTGATGATGTTTGAACTTTGATCTCCTAAGTGCGGTTGCTAAGTTTTGGTGGAGTTCTAATGGCGAGTCGAAAGAAATGCACTGGATGGCTTGGAATAAGCTGTGTAGTAGTAAATCGGAAGGTGGTGTAGGATTTCGGAATGTAGATGATTTTAACTCGGCGTTACTAACAAAACAATTATGGCGTTTGATTACGGTTCCTGATTCACTTTTTGCAAAGGTTTTTAAAGGACGGTATTTTTGGAAATCCAATCCATTGGATAATATAAAATCATACTCTCTTTCTTATGGTTGGAGAAGTATATTGTCAGTTAGATCTCTGGTTATTAATAGAGTCGGTTCTGGGGCGTCCATCTCAGTTTGGGAGGATCCATAGATACCAGCTCAATTCCCGAGACCAGCAAAAAGTAATGGTTCAATTATTAACCCATCTTTGAAAGTTAATAGCCTTGTCGACACCCGGTCAAATTTTTGGAACATGGATCTCTTGAGGGAGCTCTTTGATCCTGAAGATGTCGCGCTGATTAGTGTCTTGCCTTTGGGTGCGTCAACCAAAGAGGATACCCTTGGTTGGCATTACACTAAATCTGTAAAATATACGGTTAAATCTGGTTACCATACGACTCGGATAGAGGATTTGGATGTCTGTTCATAATCTTTTGGCCCGAATATAAAACCTCTAAAAGCATATGCTTGGAAGGTGCAGTGTCCACCTAAGCTACGGTATTTTTTGTGGCTAATTTTATCAGGTTGTGTACTGGTTACGGAGAATCTGCGAAAGAGAAGTATAAATTGTGATACTGGATGTGTTAAATGTGGTACCATAGAGGAAACAGTTAACCATACACTTTTTGAATGCCATCCAGCGAGACAAATTTGGGCTCTTTCTCAAATTCCTTCGGTCCCGGGGATTTTCTCTGCGGCTTCTATTTACGAGAACTTGGATCACCTATTTTGGAGAATACCTTCAGAGGTAGAATCATCTTCTTATCTATGGATAATTTGGTACATTTGGAAAGCAAGGAATGAAAAGATCTTTGACAATGTGGATAAAGATCTATTAGAGGTCTTACATTTAGCGGAGAAAGAGGCGCAATCGTGGCAGCTAGCTCAAAATGAGCTTCATACTTATAACCATGGTTTTTGAGATAATGAAAATCGAAACCGAGTGAGGGAAATATCACTGTTTATTCAGGATATCGTTGTTTCATAGATGGATCATGGAAAGGAACCGATACTTTTTCAGGAACAGGATGATATTGTACATCATCAAATGGAGAGATGTCAACCATGGGAGTTGCCAATATCCGTAGAAGTCTATCTCCTCTACATACAGAAGTCGAAGCTCTTATTTGGGCGATGAAGTATATGATTGGTGCTGACAACCAAGATATAGCTTTCTTTACAGACTGTTCAGATTTGGTGAAGATGGTGTCTTTTCCAACCGAATGGCGGCTTTTTCAGTGTATCTGGAGGACTTTCAGAGTGACAGGAAAGAATTTTCAACCTTTTCTCTATCTTTAATTCCTCATAGCTCAAATGTAAAAGCAGATAAATTGGCTCGACAAGTTCGTACCGAACCGCTTCATATCACATATTTAAACAACATTCTCAGGAATGGTTCTTTTGAGCTTTAATTTAAGCTGTTGACAAAAAAAATGGTAAATAATATCAAAATTTCATATGTTTTAAGTGCTTGCATGGAATTTATCTACTAATTTTTCAACATTTAATATAAAACTTATGTAGAAAAAAATATATCAACAACACTTAATCCAAACAAACTAAGTGTGTAGGTTATTATTTTTATTAATGAACACTAGAATTTGATCTATTATTTCGAGACAATTGGTAATAGATGTATTATCACAAAAAAAAAATTGTGGTAGATATTAAATTTTTTTTTATTATATAATGTTTTAAAGATAAAAGAATAAATTATATTTTATTAGTTATTCACAAAAATACTTCAAAAATTGAATATATTTAAATTATTTTCAAAACATAATAACAATACAAATGTACTTTCCATATATTATTTTATGTAAACTTCGATCTGTATACAAAATAACTGAATGCATAACCCACGCATCGCGTGGGCAACTTTCTAGTATTAATATATAACACACTTTAACAAAACATCTTCCGCATGGATATAGAAAGCCTCCGTAAACATCGTAAATAGTAGTAATAATTCCAAGGAAAAGAAAAACTGATTCCAGATATATATAACAGTTACGACTTTTGAAGGCTTCACGTTCATAGTGATGAGCTGAAGCATCTCGCAGGGAAGTCCACTTGTTGCCGGCGACGTTTATCAACAAAGAATGCCACGAAAATAGTAAGCAACATGGATAGTATAATCAATGGGAATGCAAAGAAGAAGACGATCACTGAGTAAATCTCGGTGGAAGATTCTGGATTCGGGAATATAGTGGCGTACGATGATGAGATAGCGATGCCTAAAGCCACCGTTGAACCATAGATTAACTTCCACATGGGGAGTCCAATTATAAGGATTATGATCACATAAAGAGATAATAAGAAGGCAAATCCAGTGAGGCTAATAAAAATGAAAGCATTATTAAAATCCATAGTCATCTGCCCAGCGAAGTGATCATCTTTAGTCTCCTGCCAAAATCCTCCTGGAGGACACACACCAGCCGTGTATGTAGCTGTTACCATCAGTATAGCCACCACAAGATTTGATTTGTAATGGTTACTAGTGCTTCGCGAACTGTCTATACTCATGCTGAATTTGCTCAATCCCAAGAGAGTGTTCTGTTTCTCAATAAACGAAAGATCTTTGCTCAAATATCCTGCAAGAGTTGTTGTGGAACGACAAACTAGTTTTTCTTTAGCAATATGGAGTAGGCTTCTTGGACCAGGCAAACAAGGAGACTGGTGAGTTTGAAGTATGTCCATCGCGGTTTTGCCATCCAAGTTCTTGGCTGTTACTTTAACGGTTTTACGCAGTAACTTCATGACCTACAAAATTTGACACATAGTTCTAGGATGAAGAATCATACATTGATAAAAGAATATGAGAATATATATAGTAAGGTCACAGAAACTCATTTAAACCTTTTACAAGAACTAAATCAAAGAAAGTAAAATAGACATGTTGATGATAAAATTACTGAAGAAGCATATCCAAGCCATGTCTTAACAAGAATTGTAGGGAAAAGGAGAAACTAAATGACATTTACCTCAGTCTGATTTATCGATGCAGCAATATGGAAGACTGTGTTACCATCTTCATCCTTCCAGTCCAAGATTTCCTCTCTGTTTACTCTCTTGACCCATCCCAATAGAACCTTAAACGCCATAAACTGGTGGTTCTTCACAGCAATGTGCACAACGGTCTCACACTTAATCGTCAAATCGTTTACAGAAGAAGGACAAGCAAACAAGAACTCACTCAACAATTCTGCATCACCTATTTTAGCCACATGATGCAAAGGAGTAATCCTTCCTCTTCCTTTGATGCGGACTAAGCTGCTGTCGATTGCCACAAACCCTCTCACCATTCGAATGTGGTTGTTTTGCAGTGCTAAATGCATTGGACTGAAACCTGACACGTTGAGCTTCAAAGCAAGCGACGGCTTAAGGGTCATTACTTCGATGGCAAAATGAGTTTGCCCATTTTCAGTTGCAATGTGTAGTGGCGTCTCACAAAAAAGCATTTTATCAAAGTGACCTAGAATGTTTTCATCTGCTCTTATCAACTCATAGAGTCTTTCTATATCTCCATCTTGAGCCGCCTTCTTTAGTTTCACTAGGATATTATCATTCCTGCTCAAACTCTCACCGAGATTTTCATCTTGAGCTACCATATCTGATACTACTCTATTGACATCCACAAGGATCGAAATAACTTCACAGCCAAGCTTCTGCTGCCTCCAAAGTTTTTTTCTTTCTTTTTATGTTCTTTTGGGTTTTTGGCTCATGTGCCTCATATATAAGTGCTAACCCAACAAAGTCTACAATCAACTACCTTGCATATGAAAGACTTTAAATGTTATTTCAGACCAATCATGTTCCACATGAAAGACTTTGACAATGTGGCAAATAAATCCTTACGACCATCTCTTTGGATTAATGGCATTTGAAAATGAGGTGATGGAGTTCTGGCAAATTAAATTTAGTTAGGTTCCCCAGCAGAGTGGTAGAAGAACCCATCAAGTATTTTGTCAATCTGATGTCAAATCTTGTGAACAGACAACGTTTGTGTCCATACCCAAACTAGGGACAGGATCATGTAACACACATGAACGTTAAGAAAAGGTGTTCATGCAAAACTAAAATACCAACAAGAACTACATTCGGATTACTCTTTTTTTGGAGACACCATACTAAATGGTGAACATAATAGAAATGAGAACGTGTTTTTGGGTACTATTTTAGTAACATTTGTATGAAAGTTTTCTTAGTAACATATAAAAAGTTGTTTAAGTGTGTTACGTGAAAATTTCTTTTTCTTTTTATTTCATTGATCAAGCAATATTCATCTCATTTACTGTATTTACTCTTCATTGATCAATTATTCATTCATTTACTCAACAGCATATATATTCTCTTAAAATTACACCGGGACATAAAAACTTGGTAAAAGAAACAACACCACAAAGCATTTGTACAACAATTTTCAGAAATTTGAAATGCCCACCAAAAAAAGCTTTATGCAATATTGGGAAATAGGTCCAAGGAAGATGGCAGAGACGCTTCAACTTGAGAGAATGAGGCCGTGTAAGTAAGCTCCAGTCATCACGAGTGACACCACCGACACAACTCCAGCCGGTACCACTTTCCTCGTCCTTAGGTAACGTGATCCCATTATCCCTGTCAGTGCCGCCGACCCCACTGCATATTGTTTAACATACTTGAACTTTGGACTCGATTTGCCAAGAATGAACAAGAAGTATGATTCTCTTACCAATGCCAATGGAGGATGCTAAGACTGGATTTCCTGGGAGCTCCGTGTATACATAATAGAACAACGCCGGTGATCCTCCTCCTGCGACTAGTGATATTTTGCTTCCGCGTTTCAGGTAACCCATCAACCCACCAGCTGCCACAACAATTTCCATGAGTCAAAGCATTATATGTTAGATTAAGATGACGAACTGGAAAACAAATTGCATTGGGGAATGATCTAATACACTCATTAAAGGATGGAAGAAACGTATAGTATAGATACACACCATTATTGAAACATTATGACCAAGAAGTCACAGTACAAACTCCAATGATGATGCCAAACCTCACCACCAGATAATATCGCTATATACCACAATCGAAATCTAACACTCGCATTTCTGGACAGAACGTGACAATAGAACCAGTTTCTATAACACACTTATTAACACAACAACACATGCTAAACTACAATCAGACTAGTAACCACGTATATTACTAAGCCTGGATAAATAGTACTAAAGACAGTGACAATGAAAGAGATGTGAATATCTCTTGAAGTCATGGGAACCAAACTATCTAATGGTTCCTCTCCTGCACTACTAGCGTTTATTATCTTAAAGTCATGGGTTTAGGATAGCTATATTTAATTTGTGTACTTGTCCTAAATTAGTTAAGCAGATAAGAAATTGGATTTATTTGGATGGCGTTACCGCTGAACAATGGTCTAGACTCATTGTTGAGTAATTCTTTGTCTTCCTGATTATGTATTCCAGTATACATTGTTTTTCAATCTCATAGACTTTAAACTCAATCAGTTTATCCGACCTGGAAGGATATTCAAAGATGACACAAGCTTTTTAAAGTTCAGGATAACATGGATCAGAGAGTACTAGTGGTTGTGGAAGAGACTATAGAGCAGATTACAGAGCTACAAGGTGAGAAGAGAAAGTTGAAATTCCAGGGACTGACTCACAGAGGAAGGAACCAGCATAAACTAGAAGCAGACTGACCCAAGTCCCAACCCATCGCTGTCTTATATGAACAACAACTCATAGTGTCGCTGAACCAAAATAAGAAATGGATGATCCCATCGTTATCATTGTTCAAGACAAACAATATGTAGCAGTCCAACAAAACTAAGGATCAAGTCAAGCAAAACCTAGATGGAAGAAGTCATATTGATGTTGATGGACCAACAGATTTCCAGCACATGAAGTGAAAACATCAGGGTTATAAAATTAAACTAAGGTTCTAGAATCTTTGTTAAGATCCCCGCTGATGTATTCCGATCCTATTTCCTAACAAAGTCAGCTCTAACTCCAATAGTTTAGTTGTTTACCAACCTCAGCAGCTGTAACTCCATCACAGAGATTACAAATGACAGCAGTAGTTCAATCAATGTTCAAAAACTATTTAATGAGAGAAACAAAAGGAACCAAATTATGAGTAAAACACACAAACAATTATGTATCTAGCAAAAACTTACCTATGCCAAAAAAAAATCACACAATATTTGTGATACGATTATACGAACGAAATTATCTGGTTTTAGAAATGTTATGATAGCAATGTCTCTCTAGCTAACATTGCATATATATATCAGCAAGTTACTATTTTACAAACTACCAAAGTGTAAGTTCTGTTTCAATACATATTTTCTAAAATGCAAACTTTGATGCGGTTTTTACAGGTAATGCATCTGTTATTTATGCTTTACCTACCTTTTGATTAGAGTCAGCTTCAGCTTCTTTACTGAGAATTGTCTCCTTTGCTTTATCTGTTCTTTGGATTATGTGTTAGTCAGTTCACATGCATTATACGGATTCTTGAAAGGTAACAAACCCGATTTTCATGTCGTTTAAGCAAAACCGTTTTACGCTTCTTTAGTCTAGCTAGAAAACCTTTTTTAATCCTGATGCAGTAACAGGTAAAAACACACTCTCATAGTCTCATTGATCTTTTATTGGTAAAATCCGGACCAAAAAAAAAACACAGCAGATCGAATCGAAAAACCCCTATTTGCCTCTACTATTCTCTCCGTTTTGTCGAGAAGAAACGGCTACGCAACAAGCGTTCACGAATTCCAAAGGTATCCTTAAACTCTGGTCTATTCGCCTCCATTACAAGAATGTAAGAGAGTAGTGAAGTTGTATCCATCATCTCAACTTGGGGAGGACATGGTAGCGATTCCATCCACCGTGGGAGAACGAAATGGAAAAGAGTGAGTGGATATACACAATGGTCCAACGAAGGAAGTCTTATATTCATCCATGAAAACCAATCCATTGGAAGAGGCCACGTAGTTGACATGGCCTATTGTTATATGACTCTGAATATAACAAGCTAGAGACTTTGGAAGATCCCATGTCTCGCATCTATGCAAGCTTATGAGGTCTCTTGCCTTGGTCCCCACCACTAGTGACCAAGAAGAAGACGAGTTTTTGTGCAGAGACACAAAGAGCCGCCGGAAATAATCTGTTTCTGTTACCGATTTCCATGTTTTGCAAACCGATTTGAATCTCCTGATGCTTCTCAATGGTAACCTTGCTAGTATCTCAATCAGAATCTCCTCCGAAACATGATCATGATCAGGCCCGGCCCGTCCATAAAGCAGCTAAAGCTCCCGCTTTAGGCCACAAATAAATATTAAAAAGTTGAGACCACATTTAAGAATCTTGTTGGTATAGTGGTAAGTGTCTGTCATACTTTCTATTTGGGTCAGGTGTTCGAACCCCATGAAGTTATTTTCATTTTGTCATCTTTTTATCTTTCATGTTGCTTCAGTTCAGTCATAAGTAAAGATTATTCTTAACAACTTGTCATCACGATTGTTAATTTAAATATTATTTTATAAACTAGCAATATCCATACGTAATTTTACATAAGTGAAATTTCAAAAATGTATACACAATAACGTTTGTTTTTTGTTTTTGCTTTTTTTTTTGTTTACTCAATGTGGTTTTTTTTTATAAATCATTGAAAAATATTTTTTTGATAACTAAGAATAACAAGTAATATAGCACAAAAATTATTTGGTATAATCAATAAAATTTGTTTAAAAAAATATTAGACCATATTTTGTTAATTTGCTTTAGGCCACCAAATTAATAGGACCGGCCCTGATCATGATGCTTGGTCATTGCTCCATTCTTGTTTGCTCTTCTTATTGGAAGTTTTCTAACTTTCTTTTCTCTTCCGTTCATATTTTAGGAGATCGGTTCCTTGGAAGCAATAAAAGAAGAAAACCTAATATAAAGAGAAGCAAACAAGTTTCTTAGCTTTTAATCAGATGGTTGAGATGCTTTCTAATATGATGAGGATTTTTTCCTTTTTTATTTTTATTTTATTGATATCTTCCATATCTTTTTCTTTCCTTGTATGGATTTCCTTTTTTCTACAAAATAAATATTTTATTTAAGAAAAAACTACCCTCGGTGGGTGACCGGGAACATACTTTTTGCATTCATAATAATTTAAAAATCTGACAGATGAATATGATTACCAATCAACATACTTAACAATTATATAGTCACAAATGAATATATTACTATTAAGTGGGAACAACTAAACCACTACAATTCTTAAGTAAATAATTTATCAACTTATGATAATTAACTTTTAAAAACAAACAAACAATTTTATAATTTCTCATATTAAAAAATACTTGAAACGCTAACAAATTTTGCTTTTCAAAATATTGAGTTATAGAACCACTGATTATTTTTAAACAAAAAAAAAGAAAAAAAAAGAACTACTGATTTTTATTCCTTCAATATTATATGAAATGAAATATTTCGAATACAAATTACTAAATAGAACTTAATACAAGTATGAGCATGACGTTGGACAAACACCTAGTACGTAATACAAGTAGTAATAGTTGCCGTAGAAGCCAAGCAAGCATAAGAATCACATCTTCTTAGTGACTGTGACTTTAAGACCATGTTTCATACGGAGAAGGATAGAAGGAATTGCTTCGATCTTGTGACCTTCAATGACCTTAAAGTCATAGTTTTGTATGATCTCTAGAGCTACTATCTTCATCTGCAAGAGAGCTAGCTGTTTACCCAAGCAAGTTCTCGGACCAGAATTAAAAGCCACGTACTTGTATGAAGGTTCATGTCTTAGACTTCCATTGTCTGAAATCCATCTCTCTGGTTTGAAATCCGATGCATCTTCTCCCCATACAGATCTCATCCTCCCCAAGGCATAAATACAAATCACGATCTTTGATTCTGGTTCAACTTTGTGCCCGCTTGGAAGCACATCTGGCTTTGCAGGAGCCTTGTGGTTGAAGGGAAGTGGCGGGTAGAGTCTCATTGATTCGGACAATGCAGCATGAAGATACACGAGCTTCTCTAGATCTGCAGGATCATACTTTGTGTTGATCTCATGTCTGATCTTGGCCATAACTTGAGGATGCTTAGAAAGAAGCCAAAAGAACCAAGTGAGAGCTGAGCTTGTGGTGTCCCTTCCTGCTAACACTAGACTAAAAATAACATCTCTTATAAACGTATCATTTTTCGGTTTCAAGAGCTTATATTTGGTCGTGTCCACATTCATATAATACGTCAACGCGTCCTTGGATGGCTCTGTTTCCCCGCGACTTATCTCCTCTTTTCTTCTTGAAGATATGATCTTCGCAAACATACGATTGACCGTGGCCAAAGCTGTTCTCATCTTCCTCTCAAGTCCAATACCAAGCCAGTTTTGAAGCCTCCACAACATCACCGGTTTGAAATGTCTATAGTAGATTGCTTCTTCGCCAATATCCGCAGCTTCACCGAACTCAACTTCCAGCATTTCGATGGATAGTGACATTGGATCATAACCAGTCATCAAAATTGAAGAAGTATCAAACATGAATCTCATGAACACATCTTGTAAATCTATGATAATGTTTTCATGAGCAGCATTATCAAGAAAAGGAACAAGACCTTCCTTTAACTTACTTTTGTTGCTACTTAGTGAGAGCTCGAGGAAACCTTGATTGTGAAACATGGCGTGATTTGACTTCCTCAGATCCTCCCACATTTCCAGATCAACGGTTAAGATTCCCTCTCCCAAAACATCAAAGATTTTCTTGAACTCAGGTCCTTTAGGGTAATTCCCAAAGTTTGAGCTTAGTATGTGATTGATATTCCTTGGATCCGCAGTGAACAACATATCCGTTCCACTAAGCCATGGCCCTTTGAAATAAAAGGTTAGATTGCTCGCCTCAAGCACCTCGACAGTCCAGTCGTAAATACGAGGGATTTGGGGGAGCATTCCTGGAAGCATCCCGAGGAACGGCCAGTTCTTGAGAATAGGCTGACCGCGAGGTTTCTTGTGGAGGAAGAAACAAGTAAAAAGAAATACAAGAGAAAAAAGGAATGCTACGAAGAGTTCAAGTAAACCTAGCATCGCCATTTTTAGACAAAGTATTTACGAGTATAGATAGATACAAAACTCTTAGTTAAGTTGGTATGCTATTATATAGCCTAGACTCAATTGAATGCACAACGTTGGTTGGCAAAAATGTTGTTGGCTGCCTGGTCCCATCCGATCTTAAACGGTCTGGGAACGGCATGAATATGGACATGATAGGAATCAAACTCATTTACTATTTTGTCTTGTATGTACTGCTTAGCTTAATACCACATGATCTAGTCGGTTATGTATAATGCTCTAAAATTAGAAACCTAACGAAACTAAACCCTCGACCCTAAACCCGAGCTAGGCACATGGTGTTCCATAGAGGCTGGACGATTGTAGAAAGGAACAAGTTGTTGCTTATCGCGTTTTCAGACCAGGATTTAGGCTTTGTAATGGGGGATGGATTCGATTATCTTTGCACCAATTGAATTGTTAGACATCCAAGACAGATTCTTTGGACTTAATTATAAAGATTGATAACCATTGGCCAACTTTCTCTACGTAGCTATATGCTTTAAATTAATTAGTATTAATTATTAAGAATCAGATTTTCAAACTTATGATTGTAATGTAACTGAAAGGATATATGTATATATATACATGTCTATATATATAACGAAAACTAAATAACACTCCATATTTAAATTTGATTCGAAAATCACATAATCAATATGATTACTTCCAAGACCAGTTGTTGGAAGATGTCGAGCCATCCTGAGAGAAGAGTTGCATCAACCGTTTACCTTCTTCAGAGTCTCGTATGTATCCCCGGACGCTGAATTTGACTGGTCTTTTTTGTTGGATCGATCATGCATATTTATACTGTATATTTATTTTGTTGTGATCATTTAAACCGTTTATTTAGGCCCGGCGCGCAGGACAGGCTACCCATGCCACTGCTTGGGGTCCCACAATTTTTTTTTTTTTTTGTTTTTTTTTTTTTTTTAGTATTTTTTGGTTATTGAGGCCCATTTTGAAATTGTACTTAGTTAAATTAGTGATATTGAGGCCCATTTTTTTGGATATTTTTTTAAAACAATAATAAAAATTAACATATATAAAAAAAAATTATATGTTAAATATTGTTAATAAATATCAGGGCCTCATTTTATATTTAGTGTAGGGTCTCACAAATGCTCGGACCGGCACTGCGTTTATATAAAACTATTGTTATCTTATCATTTGTGAAAATATGTAAATAGATTTATTTATACATTGATTGTGGACTGGTTTATAGTTAGTAGTTACTTGGTATATTTAAATCTACAAATATAAATGTTGTTTTTCCCTACATTACATTTTGGTAGTACTAGTACGACCGCATTTTAGCCTTTTATTATCATCATTATTTAATTTATTTTGCAAAATTAATTAGTTTTCTTATCATGTTAGTACAAAGTACAGATAACATTTTGGCTTTTAATACACCTATCAATGCCAAAAGTGATCTACTGTTTTTACCTAGAGTCGTTTTTAATATTTTTTTTTACTAGAGTCGTTTTTGTGTAAACATGCATGCATTTTCTTACAGTCATGCATGCAATTTCTTTACATTTTTATACGTGGTTGTTCGAATTTTAAACCCGAATGGATATCTGCAGCCTGCAGTTACATGCTCGGCTCAAATAAAATTTTGTCCATATGCTGAGTTCATTCTTTTTTCAAACCTTATACTTATAACAATAATAAAATAAAAATCAGAGCTTTAATTAGCTAAAGAGAAATTATAATTAAGAACAAAATTGGGCACTGTGGGACACCCATAAAACCTAGCATGTGGAGGAGATACACTACTGTTTAAAATGTTAATGTTTCTGATTTAGATGTTAGATTTCTAAAAAAAAAAAAAAATTAGGTTTCCAAATTTTTTAACAGTCATCGACTTAGATTGAACAAAATTTTGGTGGCTGCAACAAAGCCTAATAAAAAGGAAAAACATGAAACTGAAATCAACTTAAACAACCAAACACCATTACAGTTAAAAACCCATAACTGTGACATAACAAAAATTTTGACTTAAACGCAAACCACCATTGATAGCTTCCAACGGTGACCGATGATTTATAATAGTTTACATTTTTCTTGGAGATCCTTTAAGAGATACTTACCAAAGAAGCCGTGAACTGGCCAAAACTATGGTAACATATTTTTCATCTACTGATGTAAACTTTACATTGCCAATTTCGTATTCGTTAGTTTCATAATCCGGCAACACATAACTTCAACAAATTCCTTAAACTTTTCCTTCGATACGTTGAAATCGGTAAAAACGTGACTTTGAAACGTCTAGATAGAAGCCATTTGAATAGATCAGATCTTGAACAGATCAATTTTGTAGAAATTAGAGGATCCTAAGAACATCTCACGATTCATTCCTAGCCATTGGATCAGGTGGATTCAATCTTGCTCACTCATACACCAAGACTTTCCATATCTAGACCCGAGAATCTTCAATATATGCACTCCAACAGCTAGTTTCCTTTGAACTAAAGAAGACCACGACTTCTAGAAGCTTCTACACTGACCAGAACTTTCCATACATGGATATAATCTCACCGTTATAAGTTTTCTATAACCAGTCTTAGGCGTCAACAATGTCCCAACGGCCATATCCATCAAAGGCGCCTGATCAATCAAGTTGGTATCTTGCTTTCAATTAGTTTATTTTCTTCCCTTTTATTCTTTTTAGACCGTTAAGTCTTGTCTAGAATCGAGCCTATAAAGCTCAAGTCATTTGTATCATTTTATGCACGCAATTTTCAAGTAATAAAAGTTCAGTTTGTTTGCTTTCAAAGTTAGAGTCTTTGACAAAATAAAACCATCACAGAGAAGGACAGACGCAGTGCGCAACATGTCGTCTTACTACATACGTCGTCCTTTTGTGTTGCCTTTGTTTGAAATTTTTTTTTATAGTTGACCAATTTCAGTAAGCCATTGCATGCTTTATCAAATTTACAAGTTGTATTTTTAATATTGTTTAGCTAGTTGGAATAATGTAGTTATTAGTCTTATAGATCACGCAATTTCCAAGTAGCCTTTCGTATACGACAAAAGGTGTATGGAGATTAATAATGGCTCTATCAGTTAAAAATATTCTTGAAATTATTTTCTTTTCATATTGACGAAGAAGGAAAAGGACGTCTAAACATTCCTGAACCCGAGCTTAAAGAATTTATTCGAGCTATCTTTCATATCTTTAAATTTACGTGCTAAGCAAATTCAGTGGAAAAGCAACAAAACTATTTTATAACAGCTAGATAGAAATAATTTCAAGTGTGGGATTTCTGATTTTCAATGGGAAGGCCTGATGTGCACTTGGATCGACGAGTAGCAGAAAAACATCCGGCAATACCAAGAAACAATGTCATATCCACACCATCTCTGGATTTGTCCACTCTCTTCGACGAAACCAGCGAAACTATGCCGATGGATCCAAAGACGATGGCTGCAGTAAGAGCAGGTAAGGAAAATTACCTGAGAAATAATAACAGTTACATTAAGGTTGCTCCAACCTTAGTGAGCGACCGTGGAAATACAATACTCCATCTTGCTGCTTCATCGGGTCACGCAAGCATAGTGCGTTATATAATCAAAAAATGCCCAGGTTTGCTAATGAAGACAAATCTGATGGGTGAAGTTGCTCTCCATGTGGCAGCAGGAGCAGGCCATCTAGATGTTGTATGGAATCTAATTGATTTCATAAATGATATATCTTGTACTGACCTAGGTGTTGCAAAAAGGATATATTTTGCTAAGAACAAAAACCAAGACACTGCTTTGCATGTTGCTTTGAAAGGGAAACATCTGGTGGTGGCTTCCTATTTGGTCTCAGCAGAGAAATCTTTGTCTTTTATTGCGAACAGCGATGGGCTTTCTCCCTTGTATCTTGCTGTTGAAGCTGGACAGGCAGATCTTGTGACAACAATGTGTCACCAAACAAATGAGTTAAGTTCAAAGGTTGGAGGAAGATCCATAGTACATGCAGCATTGAAGGCTAAAAGGAAAGGTTTGTTGTTAATTCTACTAAACATATCTACACCTATAACTATAAGTTTCTTGTTCATGCTACTTTTAATCCAAAAATAACTTCTTAAATAGATATCCTTGCTGAAGATAGCATGCTATACTTAGCAAAGATGCAAGTCTTATAAACTTGAGAGATGAAGGAAGGACTTCTCTTTCTTTTGGAGCATCCATAGGATATTATCAAGGGTTTTGCTATCTTTTGGACAAAGATCCACACAAGGTTTATGTCAGCGATGATGATGGCTTATTTCCAATTCATATGGCAGCCAAGTATGGTCATGTTCAAATTCTTGAGGAAATCCTTAAGCGTTGTCCAGAGGCACTTGAGTTGGTTGACGTAGATGGTCAAAATATTCTTCATGTTGCGGCTAAGTATGGGAAACTCGAAGTCATCAAGTTTATCCTAAGATGTTGTAAGGATAAGAACAAGAAAAGGTTAATTAATGAACAAGATGTGAATGGAAACACACCGTTGCATCTAGCCACCACAAACTGGCACCCTAAAGTTGTGAGTATGTTTACTTGGGACCACAGAGTTGACCTGAAAAAAACAAACTACAATGGTCTCACAGCTTTAGATGTTGCTGAGGAGAACATTGATTCGAGCTACATATTTCATCAGGTAATGTGACAAGATGTCTCCCCCTATGATGGCTGTCTCAAAGTATTTGAAGGTTATAGCTAGCAAAACATTTTAATCAATTTGAATACTCTAGTTGCAAATGCTAAAAGTCGGTTTTGCTCCTAATATTACTATGTATAAATTTTCCATACTAATTCGTGTATGTGTATATACAGAGATTGACTTGGATGGCTTTGATCAATGTTGGTGTACCAAAAAGTTCCATTCCAATTACAGAAAATCTTAGATCATTCAAGAAGCCAGATGGTGGAAAGTACAAAGATCGAGTCAATACTCTTCTGTTGGTTGCAACTCTTGTAGCCACCATGACTTTCACTGCAGGATTCACATTACCTGGTGGTTACAACGACTCTTTTCCCCACTTGGGAATGGCCGTTTTGGCCAAGAGAATAGCTTTTCAAGTCTTTCTTGTATGCGACACATTGGCATTGTACTCTTCTATCATAACAATAGTTGCTCTCATTTGGGCACAACTCGGTGATCTTTCTATCATACTCAAAGCCTTCAGCATAGCACTTCCATTTCTAGGACTTGCTCTTACATCAATGTCAATAGCATTTATGGCTGGCACGTATGTTGCGGTAAGCCATCTCCCCTTGCTTGGTTATTTCGTTTTAGGTATCGGTATCATCTTCCTACTGGTTTTGTTGCTGCTCCTTGTTCCTTATGTGTCTCCATATGCTCATTCCCAACCCCTTCTTCGACACATTTTCTACTATCCCTATTTCCTTAAGCTTTTGGTTGCTGGTGACAACAAAAATCTTGTTGGTGTGTACACTGCATCAGATGAATGAAGAAACATTATAGCTTTTTGTTTTTCTAATAAAATTGTAACCATGTATATTTTATCCTGGATGTTAACTTGTTAACCGATAAATACCCATAGTTCAGGACTTAAGGTTACAGACGCTTCAAAGTTCAAACCATAACGGTTGCTACAAGAGCTGCCACAACTATAAGAGCATTGCTGTATTCTTTTTTTCCGCAATGGTCCCAATGGCACCAATGGTCTTGTAAGCTCATGGTTTTGATGAGTCTAACATTTCTTTGGACGTGGGCGTGTACTAAGACCATAAGTGTCAATCTGTGTAATCCAACCAAGGGTAAATAATGTATCTGTGAATCATGAAAAGGTAATGTTATGGTAGGAAATTTGTTGCAGCGGGATAAATTACGAAAGTAATCTTGAGTATCAATGGATCTCAAGCAGGACAATCGTAGCTCGGATTTCTTTGTTATCGAGTATCAATGGATCTCGAGAAACAAGAACTCAAAGACTTCGTTTGAGAATACTCTTCTCAGTGCTTATCAAAAGCTCTTTAATTTTATTAATCAAAAACAACCATCGAATACAAGAAGTCTAAGAAGGTTATTTATAATAAAAGCTCAAAACCCTGAAAACCTAAAATGTTCTAGAACAATAATTATTAATTAATTAAAATATGATAATAACAGATATTTGGAAATATTCCAAATATCTCGCTGCATCAGGTCTCGCCGGCCAAGAAAAGATTCGTCCTCGAATCTTGTATCTGCGCTGCATCAGCTCCCGACGGCCAAGAAAGATTCGCCCTCGAATCTTCAACAAAATTCTTGTCATCAAATAGATCTTTTCAAACCCACCGTGTACCATGGCCGTAAATATAATCATATTTTTTGCTTTTCTTCTTTTCCATCGATAATATTTTCCAAATAAGAAAATAAAATTATTTTGCACCTCAATCACTTGAAACTTGGTCTCCACGTCTTTGTTACCATGAAGAACTTTAACTAGGCCTTCTTTCCCAAAAGCCCAATTTGCATCATGATTCTTCAATCCATCGACACACACATCTTCTTCGTTCTCGTTATTGTCGTGAGAGTGCTGCCCATGTGCTGCAGACAAATTGAGAAGGAGACACTTGGAATTTGTATTCACAAAACCCACGTTCATATTTTTATGTGATAATAACAATTTAGTTTTGTTATTTTCAACACAAACATCCACCTTCTGCCTTCTCCTTGTATTAAAAGATCCATCAATGAAGATAAAGTCTACGTGATCAACGTATATGTCTTCTTCGTAGACGTCATAAACCGGAGGCCCATAAATTTCTTTGTACTTCCCATACAAATCTTCTGTTAAAGAAAACAGAAATTTATCGGCTTGATAGAGACACCCGAACGACATGGTAAACGAAGAACCGTTTCGGCTCTGATACCAACTGTTGCAGCGGGATAAATTACGAAAGTAATCTTGAGTATCAATGGATCTCAAGCAGGACAATCGTAGCTCGGATTTCTTTGTTATCGAGTATCAATGGATCTCGAGAAACAAGAACTCAAAGACTTCGTTTGAGAATACTCTTCTCAGTGCTTATCAAAAGCTCTTTAATTTTATTAATCAAAAACAACCATCGAATACAAGAAGCCTAAGAAGGTTATTTATAATAAAAGCTCAAAACCCTGAAAACCTAAAATGTTCTAGAACAATAATTATTAATTAATTAAAATATGATAATAACAGATATTTGGAAATATTCCAAATATCTCGCTGCATCAAAATTATACATACCTCTCGAAAGATGTAATGAGGTTGGAGATTTAGTTCGGCAATATAGGGCGCCACGTTATTGTCAAGCCACTATGTTTCTGTATGAACAGGTTTTCTTGCCCCGTAAGGCAACAAGAAGCTCTAGGGCGCAACATTATGGTAGCTAGATGCAGTCATGCAGAAGTGTATTCCCATCTACATCTTGCTCGTTAGCTAGATGGTATGTTTGTTCATGTGTCGTCAATTGGCGTAGAATTTAATCTCCCACTATTAGCTGCAATGTGAAGAATGTTCTGCCTTTTTTGTTAACCAAGTGCTTTGAATATGGACAACGTTTTATAATCTCTTTGAAAAGTTCAATGACCTTTCTCTACTTCCATGTGGATTGGATATGAGGATCCATAATCGTCACATACAAAAATACCATCCGTCAACCGGTCTAACATGTTGCTTATTCCTTCATAATTTGATAATTTCCAATGGATGCTACAAAGGAAAGAAAAGTCCTTCCTTCTTCATCTCGCTCATCCACAAGGCTTGGATATTGTTTAAGAATAACATCAAGAATATCTGCTCAAACAAAAGACTATCTGCTCAAACAAGTGGGAGTATGACATGTCTTTTAGTCTAGCGCAAGAGCATTGTAACAAGTGCAGGAGCATTGTAGTTGTGTTGACAGCTCATCAACTAATGTGGGAAAATAGATTTTAAAAGAACAAGAAAAAAATTCAATTGTAAATCAACTTAAATTTTTGAAAAAGTAATTTATGAGTGAATGTTATGAGAGTTTACATACATATGAAAGAAGAAAAGAGAAAAACTATAAACTTTTTTTTATTTATTTTTAAAAAATATTGAAAACAAATAGTAAAAAATAAAAATGGGCTGTGAAAACTTTTAAAAATTTTTAAGTAAAAAAAGCTTGATTAAAAAAAAAAAGACTGTAGAAACTTTTAAAAACTTTTTAAAGCTTTAAAAATTTGTATCAATCACACCCAAAGTTTCCACAGCCAAAAATAATAGTCGTTACCGATCGGTCCCAAAATATATATATATATATATATATATTAATTTAATAGAAAGAATTAAAAATATTATAGTTATATAAAAATAAGAAAAATTATTAATAAAAGTTAAATAATAATATAAAATATCTCGGATCCGGATATCCGGTTTTAATTTTTTCTGTTATCTGGATCTGGATCCGGTTTGGATAGAAAGTTGTAAAATAGAAAATTTAAAGTTTTAAACATTTTCATGGTGCATAATTTCTTTTGTTGGTTCTTGCAATGACAACAAATCTATATATAATAGCAATCTAATAAATACCATTTGCACATCTGAACGGTTGCGTCTTTTTATCGCAACCTTTCGTTTAAATCGGTTATTTTTTAACGGTTATTTTGGTTGCGTCTTTTTATCGCAATTTTCGTTTTAATCGGTTATTTTTTTACGGTTATGTTGTTTCCAATAAATACCATTTGCACATCTGAACGGTTGCGTCTTTTTATTGCAACCTTTCGTTTAAATATTTAATTATGGTTGTTTTTCTTACAGTTATTTTTGTACGGTCATGTTGTTTTATTGAATTTCTTTTTACGTAAACCAATAAACTACATTTAAAATTGGTTTTATTTCATAGTTTACATATGAATATATTTAGTAGTATAACCTCCTTAATTATATCATTCATTTAACATTTACGTGATATCATGGGAAAACAATAATATAGAGGTTTAAATAATTTTGGACATACGTGAGTGAAATGAGCCCTACACATTAAAGCTATAACGGACACGTTCGTCTACGTAATGGACCTTATCGAATAGTTGTAAAATTGTGCCTTTTCAACTCTATATATTGTCTTTCTTTTCGAAACTCCAATTTTTTGTCCTGCTACAACGATTATTTGTTGTACGATAATAATAGGCAAACCCTATCCTTATTTAGTAGAACCATTGCAACATTTAGTTTATTTCATGAAAAATTACAACTTTAAGTTTATTTTATAAATCTTTATAACATTTAATCATCTACCGTCAGTGTAACCTTTCATAAATTATTATTTTTAGCTCTTAAATTTTAATTATTAAAATGTATTTAAATGAGATTGTAACTATTTAATTGAACTGTTGCAATATTTGGATTATTTGACGAATCATTGCAACTTTTGGTTTTGTTTTACAAACCATTGTAATCTTTAGTATATTTGACGAACCATTGCAATATTTGGTATATTTGACGAACCGTTGCAGCTTTTAGTATATTTGATATCTACGGTCACGTCTCTCGGTTAAAGTTTGTCATATTTTGTAAAAAATATTTAATTACTAAAATATATTTAAATAAATTATTGTCACCGTTTAATTTAACATAGTAGCATTTGGTTTATTTGACGTTGAATATTTTGGTTTATTTATCAAACCGTTGTAACCTTTGGTTTATTATTTGATGCTTTTTGCATTTGGGAATAGTTTTTTAGTTACAAATTAATGTTTTTCTAATATTCATATAATTAATAAATGCTTGTGAGGGTTTTCTTTATCATAATTTTTGTAAAATATATATTGATTTGATATTTAAAAAAAAATCAAAATTATTACAATTCATTATGATTTTTTGTTTGATATTTTTTAAACGATTTTTGAAATATATTCCCCCGCGACATCGCGGGGGTCTTGAGTCCTAGTATGTAATAATTACAAAATAACCATTATTTGGATTTCTCTCATAAGTTATATATTCACCTAAACACGTTTTCATCGCTAATTACCTTTTTTTTTTTTTGAACATAAAAAATCGCGAATTACCTAAAACTGCAAAACTCTTTGCGTTTCCTCTTTTCTTCGCGACACAAAAACATTGGAAGCTTCTTCTTCTTCTTCTGCCAGAGAAGAATCGGTCCTCCCTTGCGTACAATCAAACTACAAGAGACATCGAGAGATGAGAGAGATCTCGATCTCGACGCTTACTCTTTCATGGTCACATCTTCTACTCTTCGCTTCGATTTCTCTCCACTTCGTCTTAGGTTCGTCTTCCATCAGATCTGTAATTTCAATTTCACAATCCTCTCTTTTTTTTTGGTACAATCATTAGATTCACTTAGGTTTTGTAAGATTTGGTAGTGATTCCGCGAGATTTAGGTCGAATTTTAGCTTTTCGAACAAAAATTTGTTTGATTTTTGTGTTATGATTTCAAAAGAATCACAATGTTGAAAAAATGAAGTTTTGTTGTATTGATTAAGACAAGTAATTTCTAGTTTAAACATGTCGGATAAGTTCAAATTCAGCAAACAATTTGTGTGTTTCTGGGCTTTGGTTATAAAAGTTTGTCTTTTTGATCTCTTGATTATCTCTGGTTTAAATGCTAAATGATACTTCTAACAATTTGGTACTCTGATTTGTGAAAACTCTAACTAGCATTATGATATACTTGTATGAATCACCATCAATGTTACATATGGATAGGCTTTTGATGATAGATTATGTTAGCTTCTTCAGGACTAATGATAATCGTTGCAACGAATTTTACGATTCAGCTGATTAGCGTCCTCTTCTAGGTTTCTTAATTAGGAGATTTGTGTTAATTGTATTGATTATGTTATTTTTCAGGTATATCTGGTGATTCCAATAGTTCAAGTACTGGAGCAAAGGCGGAATCTCATACTTCTTCTAGCAAAACAGGCACGAAAGTGATCCTCGTATTGCTTGGGTTTGGTGCTGTAGCGGGAGTCTCGTTCTTCCTGTACAAACTGTGGCAAAAGAAGAAAAGAGACGAGCAGTATGCTCGGTTATTGAAACTGTTTGAGGAAGATGATGAACTGGAGGTTGAATTAGGCCTTCGTGATTAAGAAAAAGGCAAAATTACAATGTATGAGGTATGTTTTCAATTGTTTGTTCTTGTTGTTTACTTATTAGTTGAATCGTTGTGATAATATCGATAAGTTATATGAGCATTATTGCAAGCGTTGCTAGTTTACGTTAAAATCTTAGACCACTAAAATGTCATAGATAAAGGAATTAGTGAGGTGAGTGATGCAAAGCTGACTGATGGGTTACAATGGTATATGTTTATGCTTTGAAAATTTTATTGTTAATCTCAAGTTAGAGTTTATAATAAATGATTAACTGTTCGGTTCGAGTTCTCAAGGTTCTAGACCATAATTGTGTTTACTAAAACGATTCAAGATCACCGAAGTTAACCGTTCGATACAATGATAATGAGATATACTGTTTGGCATTTGGCAGGTGTATCAGATCATACAGGCATTGGAAATATTGAAGTATATATATATATAGGAAATATATACTTAAAATGATGTAATTGTGATTGGTCATTTTGAATTCTCTGGCTGATATCGCCGTTGGAGGCTCTGGAGAAATTTTTCTTCTTTAGCATTAGGTCAATTCTTGTAAAACAATTAAATTTCTCAACTTCTTCCATGTTCTTTGATTTGCCATTTGTACAATTTAGATAATTTTCTCAGATCAACCACAAATCATACATATATGATATATCTAATCGGAGAAAAGCCATATGAAATCATATATTTTTGACGACATTGGAAACCTTCATAAATCAGTCGAAAATGCGACCGCTGGAATTCAGTAAGGGATTTCCGACAGAATTGTTTTTCTGACGCTCTAGAACCAACGGTTTAACTCCGTCGGTTATGTCACTTTCCGATAGTTTTTCCCGTCTGTTACGACTTATGAGGTTTTTTCTTGTAGTATATATACGTATGATGGTACATTTTGAAATCAAGAATCGTCGCATACTGAAGTCTAGAAGGATATAAACCAGTTTGCAGAGATCAATTGACATGCAAAATGCCAATTGGATGGTGTTCTTAAAAGGCATCGAAGCATGGGCTAAGTATTAGAGAATGATTCTGTCGTTTATGGGCCTGGGCTAGTAGATGGACCTATCTTAAATTAGCCCATTAAAGACTGATTTTATCCAACAAAACAAAAAAAGAAGAGTAAAGCTAGTGTGCAACTGTGCATGTAACGTGGCTGCTTTAAGGCCTCTATTGATATCTAAGAACAATAAGCCCGCCAAATCCACACACAGAGACAGACACATGCTCGTCTCTCTCTCTAGTCTCTCCTCCTATGGCCGCCAATTTCTGCGGCTCGACGCTTCAGTCTCCGTTTCTCAATACCTTTAGACGACCAACGATCAGATCTTCTTCCTTCATACGGTCTTCTTCATCAACCTCTTCCAATGGCAATCTTCCCATCAAAGAATCCATCTCTGGTTCAATCTCTCACTTACTTCAAATATGTTATGATTCAGCAAAAGATCAAGTCTTTTCTTCGTCAATATATAACCCATAAGAACAAATTTTGATCTTGTGTTGTTTATGCATTTCCATTAAATCTGTAACTGGAACAAGAATCTGTCAAATGCTGTAACATATTGCCTTGGTTCTTGAAATGTCAATAGGAAGCAGCAAACTATATTAGGTCTAAGTAGTTGTCTAATTGAACAGTTGCTAATTTATTGTATGGTTGTATGTGTTTTAGGGGAGTCTGAAGCAGATGTTGTGGTTATTGGAAGTGGCATAGGAGGATTATGTTGTGGTGCATTGTTAGCTAGATATGATCAGGATGTGGTTGTTTTGGAGAGCCATGACCATCCCGGTGGCGCGGCTCATTCATTTGAGATCAAAGGGTACAAGTTTGACTCAGGTCCTTCTCTGTTTTCTGGTTTACAATCGCGAGGTCCTCAAGCCAATCCACTTGCTCAAGTAAAATGCTTCTCTTCCTTAATCTCTGTTTTTTGTTTGTTTATAGTATTCCAATGTGCGATTTTACGGCTTCTGGATTGGGGTGAAATTGGTCAGGGTGTTTGTCTTTGGGATTTGTTTCTTATGAATTTTTGGTGATTGTGCTTTTTTTCAGGTTCTTGATGCCTTAGGGGAATCACTTCCATGTAAGAAATATGATTCTTGGATGGTTTACTTACCAGAAGGGGACTTCTTGTCACGCATAGGCCCTACAGATTTCTTCAAGGTAAGAAAGTTTAGCTTATGTTGCTATGTTTCTGAGTTCTAGTTAAACATGATAATAAAAATGTAAATGTGGTTTTTTGCGATGAAATTCTATGCATACACAATTCATATGTACAAAAAACTGTTAAGCTACCTTTGTATAGAATCCGAGGAAATGAACTTTCTATGTTATAAGCCATTTAGATGCTCTTGTGAACCAACTTTTGCTTCACTTTGTAGTGACTTGTATATGAGACCATGATACTGTATCTCTGATCTTTTTCAGTGTTGTTTTTTATTCAGGATCTAGAGAAATATGCCGGTCCTAGCGCAGTCCAGGAGTGGGAAAAGCTTCTTGTGGGTGCCTATGTGTGAATATAAATGACATCTACTCGTGAGATCTCATCTACTAATAACCACAAAACTATGATGAACCTGCAGGGAGCAATACTCCCTCTGTCTACTGCTGCTATGGCGTTACCACCATTGTCTATTCGCGGGGATCTTGGTGTTCTCTCCACAGCTGCTGCTAGGTATATATCAGAGTATCTTGTTCTATGTGTATAGAGTTACTTATAGTCATCTATTGCTAGGTGTTTTCCTAAAATGATCTTCTTTTTTTTGTTAGATATGCTCCTTCGCTGATAAAATCTTTTATCAAAATGGGTCCTAAAGGAGCGTTGGGAGCCACAAAGCTTCTCCGCCCGTTCTCGGAGATCTTTGATTCTTTGGAGTTGAAAGATCCGTTTATACGAAACTGGATTGATCTTCTTGCATTCCTTCTCGCAGGGGTCAAATCTGATGGCATACTTTCAGCAGAGATGGTAATTTATATATACTCAATGATGGGAAAAAGAAACAAGATTATCATATTTTTGGTGCACAAGATCAGGTTAAAATGAAGTCTTTGCTTCTTATGTGTGCAGATCTACATGTTTGCGGAATGGTACAAGCCAGGCTGCACGTTGGAGTACCCTATTGATGGAAGCGGTGCGGTGGTTGAAGCGCTTGTCCGTGGCTTAGAGAAGTTTGGAGGACGTCTGTCTCTTAAAAGTCATGTTGAGAACATTGTCATCGAGGATGGTAAAGCTGTTGGAGTCAAGCTAAAGAATGGTCAAGTATGAAGAGTTCAAGAAGTTGTATAAATATCTTCAATCTCTCTGTTTTTCTTTGTTCATTTCTTATTTTGATATGGAAATGTTTCAGTTCATTCGAGCTAGAAAAGCTGTGGTTAGCAATGCGTCGATGTGGGATACTTTAAAGCTCTTACCTCCAGGAGCTCTCCCAGATTCATACGTAAAAGGTGTGAACACAACGCCTCAATGTGAGTCATTCATGCATCTTCACCTGGGATTCGACGCAGAGGTATGAAAGGAAAATCCATTTTACCTACGTTTCAGTTTTGTGTGTTTGTTATTTTCTTGGTTTTGATATTTTCTTAAGTGGAACTGGAACAGGGAATAGCAGATGACCTTGAGATTCATCATATCGTTGTGAATGACTGGGACCGCGGTGTGGATGCTGACCAGAATGTGGTTCTGATATCAGTCCCTAGTGTTCTTAGCCCAAACCTTGCGCCACCGGGAAAACATGTTCTACACGCTTACTGTCCTGGAACCGAACCTTTCAGTCTCTGGGAAGGTCTTGACAGAAGAAGTGCCGAGTACAAGAATCTCAAATCCCAACGGTCTGAGGTACCTATCCATTTTTATAAGCTTCAGTTTTCTGAATAAGAAAAACCAAATCTCAACCAAATTGTACCGGTAACGTTGGTGAAGGTGATGTGGAGAGCGGTGGAACGGGCATTAGGGCCCGGGTTTAAAAGAGAAAAGTGCGAGGTGAGTTTGGTTGGAACACCATTGACGCATCAGAGGTTTCTAAGGAGGAATAGAGGAACATATGGGCCTGCAATAGAGGCTGGTAAAGGTACTTTTCCTGGCCATTCCACTCCCATTCCGCAACTTTTGTGTTGCGGTGACTCGACCTTTCCCGGGATCGGAGTTCCTGCAGTGGCAGCTAGTGGCGCGATTGTGGCGAATTCGCTAGTTCCTGTTTCTAAGCATTCCCAGCTTCTTGATGCTATTGGCTTATAGAAAGATCTGCTCAGCTTTCTTGATGCTATTTAATTTTATATAATAAAATTAAGTTTCCTCCAAACTCACACTCTAAAAAGTTGCACGTATAACTCTTGTTTTCGCCATGTCTTTTTTTTTTAAAAAACCTCAAATGTATTATTACCTACAAAAATACAGGAACAAACGCACACACCAATGTTACAACAATGAATAGCGCAGTTACATGGGAGCTTAGTTTAGCCAAATTTTTTCATGTGCTTGGAATTTACCAACTTATTCTTACTTTTTTTTTTTTTGTCATCCGAAATTAAAACCAACTTATTCTTACTGTATAAAAGAATGTAATGAATTTTACCCCAAAAAAATAAAAAATAAAAAATAAAAAAAAATGTAATGAAGTATGTTTTTTTTTATTTTGGTATTCTAGAAAAGAAGCTATGTAAACTATTTATAGGTTATTGAATATCCAACGTAACTAAAATAAAATATTATAAAACTAACTTAAGAAATTCATGTGAGTAATTTAACTTCTTGACAAATTAATAAATAACATACGTTAAAATTTATCTTTTCGATCAGTTTTTTTGAAATTTAAATCCAAAATTAATGCAAGTAGTGATATCAAGTTCAACTTAAAAAATTAATGATTAAATTTAAAATTATGTCAAAATAGAAGCCAAATTATTGGGTATGAAGTTCAAACTCTACAGGTATAAGATTTTAAATCAAATAACTACAATGTTCAAATATTAAGTCCTCTAAATATATTTCATTACGAGTGTTTAAAAGCCTTACTCACATTTTGTTTAATGAAGTTATTTAAATGAAAAATCATATTTTGAACAATTTGTTTAATCTAAAAGACTAATAAATGGCACTTGAGTAATATATTCGAAAGGTAGGGATATGGTCTAGATCCATAACTAATAATTATGCAAAACTTCCACCAAAAACTTAAGATACGATATCTATCAATGGACGCAAAAAAATATTTCACGGATCCCATACTAAGTAAAAATAATTGGAAAAACTAAAGGTAAATAAAGAAAATCTATTCAAAACCTTGAAAAAGGAAGCAATGGATTGAACTTGACATAGTTAAATGGTTGAGTGGACAACATTCTCAATGTTAACCTAGCCTACTTGTGGGTTTGGAGTCTAAGCAACTTTTACCACAACTATTACATGACTCTAAAAGTAATATTTATATCAAATTCAATTTACTACATAAACGGATTTCACACACCTTTTCGAACTTTCTCTTTAGTTTAGAATTTAAGTTTTATGTAGATTTTGAAAGAAAAAAACAAAGTGTTGGTTAGTTTTAGGAGGTTTTGATTTAAGGAATTTTGAGATAAAAGCGTAAATATAAAAATTGTTTAATTATTATTTTTGCTTGAAGTTGGAAAAAAAAATTTGTTTCATAATTAGAAAAAAAATAGTTGATACCTTGATTGGATAATATTTTTAGCAAAAAATTAAAACATAAACAGAACTACCAATATATTTTTCCTATTATTTTTTTAATTTTTGGATTATTTTAAATATGTTATTTTTCTCTTTTTAAAATCGAAAAAATAGATGTTTCTTCGTCTTACCAGAGATTGCTTTAATTTATTTTGTATTAAAGTACATACATAGAACTAAATTTATGGTAGCAAAATTGTTACAAGTTTAAATATCAATATATTCGAACAAAATAATATTAAAAACACATATTTTAAGAGGTTTTAGAGATTGAGATACAATGACTCCACACGTCATCCCTCTTCTTCAAGTATTGTGTTTCACGGCCAATTAATGATGGTCTGTCAGCAATATATTTAATGAGATTATCGTGACACACTTTTCCTTCTTGGACAAGATCTTGGCAACAAGACTCAATGAGGGTTCCATTTCCAAAAACAACAGCTATTATATTCAATGCACACTTAGGAGTGATTTTAACCAGACAAGTGTCCCATAATGTTTTTGCTTCAGCTTCTTCGACTGAAAATACAGGAACAAACGCACACACCAATGCTACAACAATGAATAGCGCAGTAACATGGGAGCTTAGTTTAGCCATAATTTCTCTTATGCTTGGAATTTACCGACTTATTCTTACTGTACGGAAAGAATGTAATGAAGTATGTTTTTAGTTGGTATTCTAGACAAGAAGCTATGTAAACTATTTATAGGTTATCGAATATCCAACGTAACTAAAGTAAAATAATTTAAAATTAACTGAAGAAATTAATGTGAATTTTTTAACTTCTTAACAAATTAATAAACAACGTACGTTAAAATTTATTTTTTTCAATCAGTTTTTTTAAATTTAAATCCAAAATTAACGCAAGTAGTGATATCAAGTATGAACTTAAAAAATTAATGATAAAAATATAAAATTATGTTAAAATTTGAAGCCAAATTATTGGATATGAAGTTCAAACTTTACGTATGTAAAATTTTAAATAAAGTAACTACAAGGTTCAAATATTAAGTCCTCTATATATAATTCATTATAAGTGTTTAAAATCCTTACTCACATTTTGTTTAATGATGTTATTCAAATGAAAAATCATATTTTGAATAATTGGTTCAATCTAAAAGACTAATATATGGCACATTAGTAATACATTCGAAAGGTAGGGATATGGTCTAGATCCATTACTAATAATTATGCAAAACTTTCACCAAAAACTTAAGATATTATCTCTATCAGTGGACGCAAATATAAATATTTCACAAATCCCATACTAAGTAAAAAATGTTTTTAAAAACTAAAAGCTAAATAAAGAAAGTCGATTAAAAACATTGAAAAAGGAAGCAATTGATTGGAGTTGAACTAGATAAATGGTTGAGTAGACAACATTCTCAAAGTTAACCTAGCCTGCTTGTGGGTTTCGAGTCTAAGAAACTTTTACCCCACCTATTACATGATTCTAAAAGTTATATTTATCTCAAATTCATAAAGATAAACATTCAATTCACTACATAAACGGATTTCAAATATCCTTTCGAACTTTCTCTTTAGTTTAGAATTTAAGTTTTGTGTTTTAGGAAGGTTTTGATTTAAGGAATTTTGAGATAAAAGCATAAATATAAAAATTGTTTAATTATTATTTTAATTGAAATTGACAAAACAAATTCTTTTCATAACTAGAAAAAAATAGTTGATACCTTGATTGGATTCTATTTTTAGCCGAAAATTAAAACATAAACAGAACTACCAATATTTTTTTGCTATTATTTCTTTTTCATTTTAGGATTATTTTAAATATGTTATTTTTCTCTTTTTAAAATCGAAAGAATAGATGTTTCTTCGTCTTACGAGAGATTGCTTTAATTTATTTTGTATTAAAGTACATACATAGAAATAAATTTATGGTAACAAAATTGTTACAAGTTTAAATATCAATATATTCGATCAAAATAATATTAAAACACATAGTTTAAGCGGTTTTAGAGATTGAGACACAATGACTCCACACGTCATCCCTCTTCTTCAAGTATTGTGTTTCACGGCCAATTAATGATGGTCTGTCAGCAATATATTTAATGAGATTATCGTGACACACTTTTCCTTCTTGGACAAGATCTTGGCAACAAGACTCAATGAGGGTTCCATTTCCAAAAACAACAGCTATTATATTCAATGCACACTTAGGAGTGATTTTAACCAGACAAGTGTCCCATAATGTTTTTGCTTCAGCTTCTTCGACTGAAAATACAGGAACAAACGCATACACCAATGCTACAACAATGAATAGCGCAGTAACATGGGAGCTTAGTTTAGCCATAATTTCTCTTATGCTTGGAATTTACCGACTTATTCTTACTGTACGGAAAGAATGTAATGAAGTATGTTTTTAGTTGGTATTCTAGACAAGAAGCTATGTAAACTATTTATAGGTTATCGAATATCCAACGTAACTAAAGTAAAATAATTTAAAATTAACTGAAGAAATTAATGTGAATTTTTTAACTTCTTAACAAATTAATAAACAACGTACGTTAAAATTTATTTTTTTCAATCAGTTTTTTTAAATTTAAATCCAAAATTAACGCAAGTAGTGATATCAAGTATGAACTTAAAAAATTAATGATAAAAATATAAAATTATGTTAAAATTTGAAGCCAAATTATTGGATATGAAGTTCAAACTTTACGTATGTAAAATTTTAAATAAAGTAACTACAAGGTTCAAATATTAAGTCCTCTATATATAATTCATTATAAGTGTTTAAAAGCCTTACTCACATTTTGTTTAATGATGTTATTCAAATGAAAAATCATATTTTGAATAATTGGTTCAATCTAAAAGACTAATATATGGCACATTAGTAATACATTCGAAAGGTAGGGATATGGTCTAGATCCATTACTAATAATTATGCAAAACTTCCACCAAAAACTTAAGATATTATCTCTATCAGTGGACGCAAATATAAATATTTCACAAATCCCATACTAAGTAAAAAATGTTTTTAAAAACTAAAAGCTAAATAAAGAAAGTCGATTAAAAACATTGAAAAAGGAAGCAATTGATTGGAGTTGAACTAGATAAATGGTTGAGTAGACAACATTCTCAAAGTTAACCTAGCCTGCTTGTGGGTTTCGAGTCTAAGAAACTTTTACCCCACCTATTACATGATTCTAAAAGTTATATTTATCTCAAATTCATAAAGATAAACATTCAATTCACTACATAAACGGATTTCAAATATCCTTTCGAACTTTCTCTTTAGTTTAGAATTTAAGTTTTGTGTTTTAGGAGGTTTTGATTTAAGGAATTTTGAGATAAAAGCATAAATATAAAAATTGTTTAATTATTATTTTTGCTTGAAATTGACAAAACAAATTCTTTTCATAACTAGAAAAAAATAGTTGATACCTTGATTGGATTCTATTTTTAGCCGAAAATTAAAACATAAACAGAACTACCAATATTTTTTTGCTATTATTTCTTTTTCATTTTAGGATTATTTTAAATATGTTATTTTTCTCTTTTTAAAATCGAAAGAATAGATGTTTCTTCGTCTTACGAGAGATTGCTTTAATTTATTTTGTATTAAAGTACATACATAGAAATAAATT